GTAAAACCCATATAGTTCAGAGCATTTCAGTATTTATGTAGTATGCACCTGCTGTGTGCAAGACCAGAATGATGGAAAGATTTAGAGTCTACTATTCCCTGCAGTAATATGTCCTCAGAAGTTGACTTAGCCTGCCTCCGTTTCCTCCACTGCAGAGGGAAGATAATACTGTAGACTTGTAGTCACATAGTAGTAATGTGACTTTGGGCAAGAAACCTGGGAAGCGATTTTATTACCATTGAGAGTGGATTCCAACTCATGGCAACCTTAAATGTGTCAGAGTAGAAGTGTGCTCTGTAGAATTTTCAGTGGCTGTTTTTTTTTTTTTTCCCAGAAATAGATTTCCAGCCCTTCTTTTAGGAAACTGTTGTTGTTGTGTGCCGTCGAGTCGGCCCCGACTCATAGCGACCCCTCCTTGGGTTTCCGAGGCAGTATCACTACGGAAGTAGGATTGCCCAACCTTCCTTCCGAGGAGTGGCTTGTGGGTTTGAACCGCCAGCCGTCTGGTTAGCAGGCAAGTGTCTTAGCCACTATGCTACCAGAGCTCCCTAGGAAACTATTAGTACCTAATATTTATTACGTGTGTGCCAAGAGGTATTTCAAGCATGGATTCTTCCAAAACAAACAAACAAACAAACAAAAAAAACACCTCAATGCCACCCAGTCGGATTTGAACCACCAGCCTTCTGTTTAGAAGTCAAATGCCTTAGGCACTGTGGTAGTTAAATTTGTATGTCAACTTAGCTGGGCCTAGTTGAGTGGCTGGGCAGCTGGTGGTAGTTATTCCCCGTGATGAGACTGGCAATCAGCTCTATGGTGGGATCTACCACAAGCAGCTGAGTAGCTGCCTTTGGGGTGTGGTCTGCTTCCTGTATATTAGGAGAAGCCTTGGGGATAGTCTCTAGCCTATGGCATGCTTGGACCCTGCACGTAGCCGTATCTTTGTTCAGCAGCCTGCCATGCTCTGCCGACCTTGGGACTTACAATGGACTTGAATTAATGGCTTGCCATGTGGTTTTGTAGGTAACATCAGGACTATGCCTTTTTATTTGTTGACCTTGGGCTTGTTAGCCTCAGCAGCCTGTAGCTGCCTGAGTGAAGAGATGCTCTAGCTTTAGTGGGCCAGGAGCAAGAAGCAAAGCTTGAAGCCCAAGGTCAAGGGGCTTTCACACAGTCCCTAGAGCCTGGCACTTTGAACGTGGACTTAAAGCCTCTAGACTGTAAGAGAATAAACTCCTATTTGTTAAAGCCGTCCCATTTGTGGTATATTCTTGTCAGAGTGGCACTAGGTCACCAGAACAGGCACTACACCACCAGAGATCCCTGCATTCTTCCAGCACATCAAAAAGTGTGATTGTACTTAATTCCAATAGCAGATCCATGAAGTAGGTATAATCATCCTTTGGTATCTGTAGGGAATTGGTTCCAGAAGCCCCGTGGATACCAAAATCTGAGGATATTCAAGTCCCTTATATAAAATGGTGTAGTATTTGCATATGATCTACAAGCATGTATAGTTTAAATCATCTCTAGAGCTCCTAGATTACTTATAATATGTAATACAATGTAAATGCTATGTAAATAGCACTTTCCACTCCCTCCTAGCCTTTGAGGGACTTTGGCCACTTAATTGCTTTTCTTTCTTTCTTTTTTTTTTTTTGAATATTCTCAATCTGTGATTGGTTGAACGCGTGGATGTGGATCTCATGGATATGGAGGGCCGATTGTACTGTTATTATCTCCATTGTACAAATGATGAAACAGAGTTTATGTGATGAGGAAAAAGAGATTGAGTAACTTCCACAACCTCATATGGCTTCTAAGTGGTTGAAACTATGAAGTTGTTCAAAAAAGGAAGTCACAGCAGAAGGAGGGAAAGATTCCATCTTAAGGGAGGAATCAGAAAATCTTCATAGCTGAGGTATCTCTTTGAGCCTTGAGGGGTTGATAGAATGTCAAGGTAGATTTAAGAAGAGAGATTCCAAACAAAGATAGCAGCACAAGGAAAAAATGGGCAAGATGAGAAAGTGTGTTACCTCCTTAGGAAATTAAGCTTGATTGTGAACATTAAGCCTTCTCACCTTTGCACATGCTGGTCTCTGTTTGAAATCTCCTTCCATTCATTCATTTTCTGTATATTTATTGAGCACCTGTTGATCCTTTCCCTTATCATCCAGTTGACAGAAGCATCCTCCTTTAAGCTTCCACAGAGTATGGCTCCTTCTCTCTGAAACGTTCCTGACTCTTCCAAGCAGAATGAATACTTGCTCCTTTGTCCTGCAGTATACCGAGTATTTATGCCTGTTTCAGTTCTGGTCATGTGTGTGACTCTCCCTTACATGACTGGCTTCTCTGCTGGATGGTGAGCCTCTTCAAGGACAGAGTCGAGATTTGACTATTACCCCTTAGCCAGAGTGGTTGGCAGAAAATGTCTGTTGGTGTGTATAACGCAATGAGTATTTGTACCTGGTTCATAATAGGTCCTTAGAAAATATTTTTTTAAATGGTAAATATTATCAGTAAGGTTAATCATGTCCATATATGGCTGATTTTAGAACTCTATCATCTTCTGTAGAATGTTGTCCTTTGGGTTAGAGGGGTTGAGGAAGGGGTAGGACTAGTGGCCTGGTGGTACAGATAGATGGCCGAGAAGTGACTGGAGTAGTTCTCACTTTCTGCACATAGTTTCATGGGCTCCATTCTGTGAAAATGATTTTCCATTTTCCTTAGATCCTCTAACTCAAGCACCTTTAAGGAGCTATGGTACTGTAGTGGTTAAGGCATTTGCCTGCTAACCAAAAGGTTGGTGGTTCAAACCTACCAGCCACTCTCTGAAAGAAAGATAGGACAATCTTCTGTAAAGTTTTATAGCCTTGGAAACCCAGTGGGGATCACTATCAGTTAGAATAAACTCAATGGTAGTGAGTTTCATTTTTTTCCTGAATCCTTCATAAAAATTGTTTTTGTTAGCTGCTGTTGTGGTAATCTACTGCAACAGAATAAAATATTATCCAATCCTTCCTCATCTTCATGATCACCAGCATGTTTGAGTCTGTGTGGCTGTTGTACCAGTCTATCTCACCAAGGGTCTCCTAGGCCCTCATTGGCCCTCTGCTTACCAAGCATGATCTTCTCCTCTAGTGATTGATCCCTCCTGATAGCATGTCCAGAGCAAGCAAGTAAGACAGTTCTGTTAAGATCCATAATGTTTTCATTGGCTGAGTTTTGGACGTAGATTGCCAGGCTTTTCTTCCTCATCTATGTCTGGAAGTGCCGCTGAAACCTGTCCCCCATGTGTGATCGTGCTGACATTTGAAAGAGTGATAGCACAGTTTCCAGTGTCATAGCAACATGCATGCCACCACAGTAGAAAAATAGCTTATTGAAAGAACAAATGAACAAACAGAAAAAAACAAGAATCTTTAGAAGGTAAGAATTTCCCTATATTTAGGCCTTTTATCTGGTTTTTATATTAGACCTTCTAGTTAAACCATCTGTAATTGTTGCATTTAAGAGATTTGGAACATTCTTCTTTTTGAGCCAAAACTGGCATTTGAAGCTGGCCTTTTTAGAGTAAATCATTTTGTGTTTGTGAGATGAGCAAGGAATTGGTTACGCAGTTTGAAGATCTGTTCCTGGTAGCTTTTTCTTAATATTCTTTAAAAATGCATGACTGGTGAAATGTTTATTTTCAACTGAACTCTCAGATAAAACTATCAGATAGTCACTGGGACTGACTTGACACAGGAATACATTCATTCAATTTAAATGAGATTGAAAAGAGGTAATGTATGTGTGAAGCAGTAGCTGAGGGCATAGTGTATAATAAGTGCATAGTAAATACTCGCTGTAATTGAAGTGGTTGTGTTATCATTATTATCCTTATTCTCTTCTTAGCACAGTGTCTGAACTTAATAGTACCTAGTAGTGTGCAATGCATATTTATTAAAGAATGAATGAATGAAATGTGTGCCTGCCTGCTTCTTTTGTCTCTCTGCACATTAAATGCTTGCCTGCTCTTAGAGCTGGGATGGGGAAAGCTGAGATAAAAATTGGCTTTGTGGAAAGTTTCTCAGCCCCCATTTGTCATCTTACCCTTGGAACCCAATTGTATGTCAACTCCATGTCCCCTCTGATGCCTGCCAGTGGGGAACAGACCACAGGTCACTTCCCTATGATCTGCTTTAGCTGCCAAGGCTCTGATCAAGCTTGGCTGATGGATGGGTCCCCTGCTGTTGGAAATGTCTCCATGGGGCTGGTCAGAATCATGCCTTTGCTGTATTTTCTGGGTGACCTCTAGTGCTTGAAAATAAGAAACAGGGGGAACAAAGAATAGAGTTTTGCTCGATTTTGAGTTACCTGGTTTGAGAAACAGTCTCGTGCATAGACCCTTATTCCCTTTGCTGTATGGGAACAACAAATAAGCAGTTGCCATGGAGTTGATTTCAACTCATGTGACCCCATGTGTGCAGAGTATAACTTCTCCATAGGGTTTTCAAGGCTGTGATCTTTTGGAAGAAGACTGCCAGGCCTTTCTTTTGAGGAGCCTCTGAGTGGGTTTGAACCACCAACCTTTTAGTTAGTAGTAGTTGTTGTTATGTGCCATCAAGTCGGACCCGACTCATAACGACCCCTCCTTGGGTTTCCAAGGCAGTATCACTAGGGAAGTAGATTGCCCAACCTTCCTTCCGAGGTGTGGCTGGTGAGTTTGAACTGCCAGCCTTCTGGTTAGCAGTCAAGTGCCTTAGGCACTACGCTACCAGAGCTCCCTTAGTAGTCAAACATTTCACCATTTGGGCCACTCAGGGACTCCTGTGCTGTCTAACTAAACCTTGCCAGTTGCTTCATAAAATCATATGAGCATTTGTACATGGAGATCAAGGTGTCCCTGTTTTTGTATGTTTATTTGCCAGGCTGGTTCTGCCCCCTCTCCCTGCTTCTGATTTGTGCTTATCTTCAAAAGGTGACTGTTCTGAATTTTCTGTTTGCTTGGTTTGCAGCCCTCGAAAGAAGTGAATGAAATGAGCCACTTGGGGAGTCGTTTGTGAAGGGAGGAGTCATACTCTTGGAGAGGAGTCCTCAATGAGCCTGGCCGAGGCCCAGGATCTGTGTGAAGTGGACTAAGGATTTAGTAGGATGTCAACTGAGACAGAACTTCAAGTAGCTGTGAAAACCAGCACCAAGAAAGACTCCAGAAAGAAAGGTAGGGTGGGATTCTTGCCCTTGTGCATGGCTACTTTCCTGTTTAGGAATAAATTTTTTATCTCCACAATAAGATAAAGAACAATCTTTATGACTGCATATATATTTTTAGTAGCCACCAGTATTATTTGTGTTTTGGTTTGTTTTGTACTCATACTGTAATACTTTAATGGCTTTCCATTTTTCTCTGGGTAAAATCCCAAATTCTTTTTATAACATACAAAGCCTTTTCTTATAAGCCTTCTACCCATCCTTCGAGTCTGCCTTCTGCCTGAACCCTCCTAACCCTGTTTGACCCTCCAAGCATTCTGCATTTTGTAGTTCACTTCTGAGAACTACTTACCTAGAGGGATGGTTAAAGCACAGATTTCTAGGCCCATCCCTAAAGTGTCTGATTCTGTGCATCTTGAAGGAGTCTGGGTGTTTGTATTTCTAACGAGTTTCCAGGAGACGCTGATGGTGCTGGTCCGGAGACCACACTTTGAGAACCACTATACTATTAATGCAGCCTGGAATGCTTTGATTGTCATTCTCCTCTTTGCTTCTGGGCTGACTTCTACCTGTTCTTCATGTTTGAGTTTGGTGAACTCTCCTGGGGGAGCCTTTCCTTACTCCCCAAAGTGGGTTAAATATGTTTATTTTGTTTCACTCGTATTTTGCTGTTACCTCACTTTATTAAATATTTCTTCTGTAATTCCTTGTCAGCTATACTGCATACTCCTTTGGAGCTGGACCTCCCATTCACCCCTTTAACTCCCAACACTTAGAAAGTGCTGGACATAAACAAGGTATCTGGTAATGAAGGCTGACCTGTGGAGTGTGATAACAAACTAATCTTACCACTTGCCCTGTTTTTTGAGGAATTTCACCTCATAGATTTTCAGGAAGTTTTGTCACCCCGTTGTCATTAGAATTAAGTAACTTCTTGCTTTCTGTATACATGTGGGCAGGTGTGCGTATACGTTTTCTTCTTATGGTTTTCAGCTCTTTCTTTCCTCTTTCTTCTTAGCTGCTGCTGCATGGAAGGGGATTGATAGAGCTCTCTTCTAAGTCTTGGAATCTAAGGTCAATGTTGGTTGCTGTGTCTGAGCAATGACTTGTACCAGACCCTCTGTGCCTGCCCAGCCCAGCTTTTTGATGGTGTTAGTCTGACCCTCTAGGAATCAAGGGAGGGAAATGTAATGCATACGCAGCTCTTGGAGAGCTAGAACCCGAGGTTCCTTTAGATGTTTATTTGAAATACAAACATTTTGGAGGCAGTCTATTTCATTCCCTGAAACTTAATATAAACCTGTTTGTTATGCATCATATTCTAAGAATAATAGAAAGAAAGCAAATGGGTGAAAGAACAGGTCTTGGAAGAACTGGTATATGGTAAATAGATTGTGGAGCCTGGTATGTACCAGAATTCACATGTTTTTTCATTGGAAACTGACAAGTTATATTTTTGCTTCAGATTTAACCTTTGCACTAAACTTGTGCTCTTGAATGCTTAATGCTTTAAAAATTGTATTTTAGTGAATATTTTTTTCATTCTTAATTTTAAACATGCAAAACCAGAAGTGTTCTGAAGCAAGGATTTAATTTTTCAGGACATTGGCTTGGTTGGAGATTTAGAATGAGAGTGTGAAGGTGACCGTTTTAGGACTTTGTGGTGTTACGTTTGTGTGTCAACTTGGCTGGGCCTGGTTGAGTGGCTGGGCAGCTGAATGTAGTTACTCCCCATGGTGAGATTAGTAACTAACTCCATGATGGACTCTATTGGAGCAATTGAGTAGCTGCTTTTGGCTATGTGGTCTGCTTCCCGTGTATAAAAAACAGCTTCGGGAATGGTCTTCCAAATGCTTATGGCACGCTTGAACCCTGCATGTAGCCGTGTCATTGTTCAGCAGCCTGCCATGCCCTGCCAATCCTGGGACTTTCAATAGACTTGAATTAATGGCCTGCTGTGTGGTTTGGTAACAACGGGATTGTGCCATTTTATTTGTTGACCTTGGACTTGTTAGCCTCAGCAGCCAGTAGCTACCTGAGTGAAGAGATGCCTCTAGCTTCAGTGGGCTGGAAGCAAGAGGCAGAGCTGAAGCCCAAGGTCGAGGGTCTTTCACCAAGCTCCTGGAGACTGGCACTTTGAACTTGGACTTCTGGCCTCCTGAACTGTAAGAGAATAAACTCCTGCTTATTAAGGCCATCCCATTTGTGGTATATTCCTATCAGAGCAGCACTAGGTAATCAGAACAGACTTCATCATCTTCATATCCTAAGACGCTCTCAAAATCAGCACAATACATAGGAGAGTAGTATCTTTGAGTGAGTATTTAATCCCATGGATTCTGGGTAGGCAGACATATGTTCAAATTTTGGCTAAACCACAGTTCCTAGTTGTGTGGCCTTGGAAAGCTACTTAAGCATTCTGAGCCTTATTTTCCTTGTCTATAAAATGCATATATACTATAAGATCACTATGAAGACTGATAATTAAATAAGGAAAATAAAGCAATTAGTACAGTACCTGGCATGTACTAAGTGCTCAATAAATGTTACCTGTGCTTCTCTTCCTCTTCTTTTTCATGCTCCTTGCCCTTCCCCCTTCTCTTCCTATCTTTCCTTTCTTATGATCTTCTTCTATCCTTCCCCTTTCTTGCTTTTTCTCTCTCCTCTTCTTCATCTTCCCCTTTCCTCCTTTTCCTCTTCTTAATCTTCATCATCATCATTACCACATTGTTTTCTCTTTTCTCATTTTAGAACCAAGGACTCTTAAGATGTATGTAGCTCATTTGTCCCACAGCATGACTTTACAATTATGTGTATAGTTGTAAAAAGGGAAGGGAAAGAGATAAAATCACAAGGAGAAAACACACATACACACATGATGCAAAATGTTGCTTAAGTCTAATTACAGTTTTTGTTCTTCATATACAATCTGTATTTTTGATGGAGCAAGGTAAAAAAAAAATCAGACCTTTTATCGAGCACTTTAAAAAGAGAGAGAACATGCTGGTAGCAGGATTAAGTCATTTCTTCTTCAGTTCTGACTGTGGAGTAATAAATATTTTATTAAATAAATGTAACTAAATATAATTTTAAAAGGAAATAAAGCAATAAAATAAAATAATATCTCCTTCTTTAATTTTGAATATATAATGTTAAACAATCTTATTATTTCTTTCTCTAACTTCTGTTGGGTTTTCTATGTCAGAAACATAACCTACAGATAAGTTTCTCTTTTCTTCAATTTTTAAGCACTTATTTATTTTTCTTGCCTTATTGCAATGACTGGCCTTACCAGTACAAAGCTTAATGGTAGTTGCTGTAGTTAGGTGCTGTTGAGTTGGCTCCAACTCATAGTGAACCTGTGTACAACAGAATGAAACACTGCCCAGTCCTGTGCCAGCCTCACAATCCTTGCTATACCTGAGCCCCATTGTTGCAGCTGATGTGTCGATTCATCTCTCTGAGGGCCTTCTCCTTTTTCACTGACCCTCCACTTTACCAGCATGATATCCTTCTCCAGGGAATGTTCTTTTCTGACAACATGACTAGAGAAGGTGAGACAAAGTCTAGCCATTCTCACTTCCAAGGAGCATTCTGGCTGCACTTCCTCCAGGACAGATTTGTTCATTCTTGTGGTAGTCCGTGGTACTCTCAGCATTCTTCTCCAACACCACAACTCGAAAGCATAAACTGTTCTTTGGTCTTCCTTATTGTCCAGCTATCACATGCATATGAGACTATTGAAAATACTATGGCTTGGGTTAGTCATACTTTAGTCTGCAAAGAGACAGCTTTACTTGTCAGCAGTTTATAGAGGTCTTTTGAGCAGATCTGCCCAGTGCAATATGTTGTCTGATTTAATGGTAGTAGGTGGTCTTATTTTGTTCCTGAATAATAGAAACACTTTTAAATTACCTTTAAGTGAGATTTTAAAATTTTTGGTAAGGATTCTTTATTGTTGTTGCTAGTTGATGTTGGGTCAATTCTGACTCATGGTGATGCCATATGTGTGGAATAGAACTGCTCCATAGGATTTTCAAGTCTGTGACATTTTGGAAGTTGATCACCAGGCCTGCCTTCTGAGGAGCCTCTGGGTGTGTTGGAACTCTCTTTTACTTAATTTTCTAGGAGGTGTTTTTTTTTTTTTTTTTAAATATCCTGAATTTGCATGTTGAATTTTATAATATACTTTTTCCTTATTTATTGCAAAGACTATATATGTTTTTGTTCTCTTTTAATTTACATTGTTGTGGATTTCACTGATAGATTTTCTGTTCTTCATTCCCAGGGTAAGCCCTAATTGGTCATGATGTACTGTTTTCTATACACTGCAGGATTTGATTTGCTGACATTTACATAGGTTTTGATATCTATATTTATTAGCAAAATTGGTTTATAACTATTTTTCCCCCTTACAAGTATTGTCTGGTCTTAGTGAAAGTTGCATAATCTTATGTAATAGTTTTGGAGGGAAAGAAGAACTGAATGTTTAGGCCTCTTTCTGGAAAAATTATTATTACATTTTCTTTCTTTAGTAATTTCATTAAAAATTTTTTTAAAACCATATATTCTTCTTACTGAAAGTTAGAAAAGACAAAATAATCATGCATGATCCTGTCAAACAAAAATAACTACTGTTAACATTATAAATTAATTCCTTCTGGACTTCATTTTGGGAGCTCTGGTGGTGTAATGTCTAAGGCATTTGACTGCTAACCAGAAGGCTGGCAGTTCAAACCCACCAGCCACTCCTCAGAAGGAAGGTTGGGCAATCTACTTCTGTAGTGATACCGCCTTGGAAACCCAAGGAGGGGTTGCTATGAGTTGGATCTGACACAACGGCAGTGAGTTTGGTTTTGGTTTTGGTTTTGGTGGACTTTATTTCAACTCTGGTTGAGATCATGCTATTTATGCAGTTTTATATCCTGCCTTGTTACTTGACATTATATCATACGTACATTCACATATTATTACATAATATCATAGACTAGAAGAAATTTTACCCTTGGC